TATGGCTCTTTCATCCCTCTGCTGTGGCTGCCTGTAGCCGGTCGGCTCCACAATTGATAGGGCTTTTGGTTAGGACAAGTAGAGGAAAAAGGAGGCTGTGCTAGGAGGAGACTCTATGGTGGGGGAACCGGACTTCTGGTCAGCTCCAGAATTGAACAGGGGGCTCCTGGTTAGGACCTTTATGGGTCTTTGAGTATTTAAGGTTGCCTACCCCTGGGCTAATAGCATAAACCAAAACGACCATAGAAGAAAAGTGGCAATCTGGGTGGTGGTGGTGGCAGGATGCCAACAGGAGATGATAAATTCCATCCCCTGTGGGCGTTCTTGTCAAAGCTTCACAAATCATACAATACAGTCAGGCTTTACTGTAAATTGCCTATTGTATGTGGGTTTTTTTATAAAAAAAAAATAGAGTCAAGAAAAGGTAGAAAACACTACTTCTATATCAAATCAGGAAAAAAAGTAAAAAGCTGGGTGATCTCTGCTCTGAGTTGGAGAGGAAGAAATACTGCAGAAATACTGGAGAGGAGAAGTATTTCTTGAGATATATCTTTAAGAAACAATTAATGAGGTATTCTCAGACTGCAGTTAAGATAGGTCCTGTTAGGGATTGTGTGATGTTTTTACCCATGGAGTTTAGTGCATGCTTGTATGTCCAGGAACTGTGATGGAACCATATTTCATCTTACTGCAATTCCTCTAGATCAGAGGTGTCAAAATTACATCAGGGCGGCGTCACGTGACGTATTGGGACTTTTTCCCCCTAGCTAAACAGGGCGTGGCTAGTGTGTGACACATCTGGCCCATGGGCTGGAAGTTTGACAGCCCTGCTCTAGATAAAATAATTAAGTTTGTTGAAGTATATATACTGTAAATATAATCATTCCATATAACCAATGGTTTACCACCATTTACTTGGAAATTCTTTTAATGTAGAAATGTTAAAGAGTTAATAGCAAGTGTTAAATTTTTTTAATTCCAGTTTTCCATTCTCACAGCCTACCATATCTACTGTCTAACTGCAAGATGTATTAATTCAGTTCTCTGATTCAGTCAACTAAATTTGGCCTCTTCAAAACAATCAGTTTGATGTTTTGCGTTCATGAGAACGCAATTTATAAGTAATGGTGCGTATGAAGAATGCTTCATAAGGTTGCCTATTGTTTTGTTTTGTTTTGTAATTGGAATGAACATCTTTCTGGGTCTTGAAAAGCCTTCCACCTTCCACTCTCCACCTCCTCTCTGTTTAGAAGTAGCTTGTGGAAAAATGTAGCTTTATAAGCAGTTTCTTATTTAAAATAGGTAAAAGAAGGCAAAATATAAATGGTTGAATGGAAGAAGGTTCTATAGTCTAGAATTAATGTTATATAGCAGGGATGGCAAACCTTTTTGGCACCAAGTGCCCAAACTGGAAATGTGTGCAGGTGCACGCGGCAAAGCACTGGAAACCTGAAGACTAGGTGGCTAATGTGCACATGCCTGTTTTTTGGCTGTTTTGGGGGCTGTTTTCAGGCCATTTACGGGCCATTTTTCAGGCTGATTTTTTTTGCCATTTTTCAGGCCATTTTCAGGCTGTTTTCCAGTGCTCCAGGGCCCGTGAAGACCAGCTGGCTGGTGCATATGTGTGCACCGGAAACCAGAAGAGCAGCTGGCGAGGGCTCTGCGTGCCACCTCTGGCACACGTGCCATAGGTTCGCCATTACGGTTATGTAGTCTTCCTTACCCTGGTTTCTTTCTCTCAAGCTTGAAGTGGTTAAGTCATCATAGCCCTGTCATGTTGCAGAAGTCTGCTCCAGATGTTGATCTGGGCATTGCGCTTTGAGTGTGTGTAACAAGGTGTTGTGTAGATACTCATTAGGGTTTTTTTTGTTTTTGTTTTTTAAAAGCTAGGATCTGTGCAGAATTTTAAGAGCTGGAAGATTCTAATCTCTTTCAAATTAGCTTCTTACCATTTCTGCCTACAGAAAGCTATTCTGAGTATGCATAATAAAATAATTAAAGTAAATCACCGGTTCATGTTCATATAAGAGGAAAATAACCTTGGCTATATGTCCCTATTTTTTTAAAAGTAAATTTGCCTAAACCTTAAGGGTAAAATATGCTGTCATTGTATATCTTAAAAAACATTTTGTGGGTTTCTAGAGACCAGGTCTACATTTATGATAATGACAGAGTTCTTCTTCCCAAGAATCAAGAAGAAAACATCTTCTATTGTTGAGCGTCTTTTTGGCTTCCTACCAACTCTGTCCTGTGTCTTCATTTATCAAGTCAAAGTATGAAATATTTTACCCTGCTTTATATATGCATGAACTGGTCAAGAGGTGTATCAGAGATTAATGCTGCAGCCTTTTTACATTTTATTGGAAATTAAAAGTGTTTGTAAACTTAGAAACACCTTAATTGAACATATTTTTTGAAATACAGCAGTGATACATTTGGTACTTGTGTTGTTTGACAGAGGATCAGATAAATTGGTAAAGAAAGCAGCACCAGCATGTCTGTCATCGGCTAAAAATATGACAACTGCCTTCTGCCTTCTGTAAGACCTTAAAGCTTTTCATATGTTGTCTGCTGCCTTAAAATAATGTAAATTGTAAAGAAAGCACCACCTGTGGATTAGAAGAAATACCCCTAACGTTCCTCATTGCAGTGGAGACATGAGCATGCATTACTCTGATTGCTTGTGCAAATGGCAAGCAAGATTAACTGGCCATTTACTTTGATTGCCTGAATGGTTTATGGGTACATCAATAAGAAGATATGGGTTGTAAATTTTAATTTACTTCTGCTGGCTGTGAATCTCAGATAAGCCAACCTAGATGCTTTTGGACTTCTAAATATAAACTAAATTGTTCTAACCCAACTCACTGGAAAACTAACTTGCTATTAAACAATTTATCAAAGAAATACTTAAATCTGTAATGGTGATTTGATAGAATTTGAAATCAGTTCTGCCCAATTATATAAAGCAGGGTTTCCCTCCTTTCCGTGGCAATTACATTTGTTCCATATATGAAAAGAGGAGAAATATCTTAAAAGTGTCTCCTGGAAGGAATCCTTTAAAATCATTTTTGACAAGATGGTCAGTTAGATCTGAATCAGAGGTGGGTTTTAGCAGGTTCTGACCAGTTCTAGAGAACCGGTAGCGGAAATTTTGAGTAGTTCGGAGAACCGGTAGATACCACCTCTGACTGGCCCCGCCGCCATCTATTCTCTGCCTCCCGAGTCCCAGCTGATTGGGAGGAAATGAAGATTTTACAGTATCCTTCCCCTGCCATGCCCACCAAGCCACGCCCACCAAGTCACACCCACAGAACTGGTAGTAAAAAATTTTAACCCACCACTGATCTGAATGTCTATATTTGTTTTCACAGGAAATAAATCTAGTGCCCTATAGATAATGCTGGCATTTCAAGATGCTCTTTTGGCCTTTAAAGCCGTATATGTTACACGGCCAGGTTATTGGAGGGACTGCCTGTCCTGGTTACATCTACCAATCCCATCAGGTTTGGCAGGGCAGGCAAGTCATGGGTCCTGCCTGCTAAGGAGTGGCACCTAATGAGACCTAGGAGATGAGCTTTTTCTCCCATAGCATTTACATCATCACTCTGGAGGTGTGATTGGCCTCAATCCTAATGATCTTCCAAAAACCTCTTAAAGTGTGTGTGTGTGTGTGTGTTAACAGTCCTGGGGATCTTCTGGTAACAGGGAGCCTGCATATGGGTAGTATTATAGGTAGTCCTCAACATACAACTATAATGGAGCCTGCCTATTATGTCCCTACGTTGTAACGATCATAAAAGGGGTCAGTCACATGACCAATTTTATTATCTTTTTTGTGATGGTCGTAACTTCAAATGGTTGCTAAGCAATCGATCATAAGTTGAGGACTATCTGTATGTGTAAGGTCATGTATTGTCTCATGATCTTATTTCTATTTATGTCTAATTGTTTTGATTTTTTTTAAATAATGCTTTATTTGCTGGTTTTATTATGCATACCTATAGTCACATGGACAGCCAAAAAAAAAAAATGAAAATAAAACAACCAACAAAAAGCAAAGAGGTTGGGGATGCCACAAGGATTGATAAATGTCAAAAATGTGTCTGTGTTCTCCTAGATCATGTCTTTGAAAATAGATTCCTCTGTTAAATCAAGATTTTGATTCACCATAGAGAATTTGCCTCCTGTGGTTCTTAGAATTACAGATGACTGGCTAGGAAGTCCAAACCATCTGGAAGCCCAATATACCATATTGGGGGAAACTTGTGTAAGAGAACTGTAAGGTTCTCTCAGAGAACTGTGTATATCTGCAATACACTTGTGGATGGTTCCATTTGCGCTTTCTGTTTCATTATACTGACAAATTGATACAAACAGTATTTTGCTTTTCCCTGATTAGTTCCATATTATTTTGGGGTATGCAGCTAAGAGATTGGTGTACTCTGTGTCCTGTTGCTATTGTTTATATCAGAAAGAACTGTCTAATAGTTTTTCCAGAGGGCTATTTTGGAAATAGCTTGTAATGGAGAGAAAAATATTCCACTTTCATCCCCAAATCCACTTATATTTCCCAGAAGACCCAAGTTTCTAAAAGTTTCAGTTATCATAGATATGAATAAAACAACTCTTATCTTTGAAATGAGCTTAAATGGACTCCAGAGGATGGTGGAGGACAGAAAGGCCTGGAGGAACGTTGTCCATGGGGTCGCAATGGGTCGGACACAACTTCGCAACTAATAACAACAATCTTTGAACATTTATATGTGAATGCCCTTCTGCCTTTTCCCAGTCTGTGCCTTCCCATTGTGTTTGAGTTTCAAGATTGGAAAAGAACCTTTTATATAATTGTTCTGAAAAGTATATTCATATACAATTGAATACAATATACAAACTATAAGGTGATAATAGGAATTATTATCACCTTATAGTTTGCAAAAGAGTGAGTTTCTAATAAAACAATTAATAACTTTGTTCTTTCTTTATGTTATTTATCACAGGCAAAATTCTCTTCCGCCGAAGCCACATCCGTGATGTTGCCATTAAACGCCTTATACCCATTGATGAGTATTGTAAGGTAATGGATATTTTTTATTAGTTTGATCAGGGCACCACTTTCAACATATGGCTCCTTATTATGCACAATCATCATTATTGGTTCATCTTTATGCATTTTCATGTGACGTAGAATGTCACTGCTATTCATTCAGCTGTTGTGTATACATCTGATCAGAAAGTACTACCAAGTAGTAGCAGGTTACTTTATAAAGACTTGGAATTGAGGGGAGAGGGAGAGACACTTGCTTTCACCCCCAAAATCCAACTACTACTTGTATGGTCATCTATGAGGGAGATGGGCAGTTGAGAAGTTTGATAAGTGTGTGTGTGTGTGTGTGTGTCCCAGAATTCGAAACTGTCCAGATAATCAAAATTGCAGACCATTTCATTTAGTATAGAGGTAAACCAAAGAGTTATATTTGTTTGTTTCAGGAATACTATAGCTTTATAGAATGTCTATGTAAATGTTAAATAATTGTGTATTTTCTCTCATTAGATCCTTTGGGCATTTGTAATGCTTTATGGAAATGCTGATTTATTATTCATATATTATCATTAGATTCATTCGGTATTTGAAGTTCGCTATTAAATGCTGAATTATGGTGAATACATTGTCATTAGAACCATGTCAGTAAGTAGATGACATAATGATTCTACTAATGCCAAGCGAATAAAATTGTAATTTGCCTCATTTATTACTCAATCACTTATCATCAAACTTATTCCTCGATAGATCTTAGCTGAAAGATGAAAGCAACTTCTCTTCTCAGCTAGAGAGAAGTTACTTCCATTAGATTGCTCTATTTTCTATCACTTTGCTGAAAGTAATTCACATTATATCCTTCAAATAATAGCCTTTATAATACAGTTACTGCTCAGTTACAGGGGTCCCAAATCTATTTGGCTCATGCACACATTTGGAATTTTGATTGTCTACCCTAAAATTATTGTCTGGAACGCACATGGATGTGTGTGAATGAATGAATGTCTGTCTTGCTTATTATAATCTCTGTTTCATAGGAAGACAAATTATAGAGGTATAACGGTACATAATTTGTCTGAGATTCTGAATACGTGTATGTATTTCTCAGTCTAAAAAGGTTTGGTATTTAATGCAAGGTAAATCTGGTCCTCATTTCAGATGAGGAATTTCCATTGTATACAATTCTAAAGTGGAACGAAGCAAGAAAGGAAGGTTGATGGTTTATGTGCCATCAAGTTGGTGTCAGCTTTTGGTGACCTCATAATGATCTGCCCCTAATATGGTCCTTCAGGTTTTCCAGTGGTGAAAAACAACTTTAGTTGGCACCTATTTTGAACTTCAAAAAAAGAAGCAGATTTTAGTATAATTAGGGTAATGATTATTTATTTATTTATTTATAAAATGTATAGCTGCCCATCTTATTTCAAGGCAACTCTTGCATGGAAAAAAAACAGTAAGAAAAGGAGCAACAGATAAGTGGCATTTCTTAAAGAAGGAGATACAAAATGCACAATTGCAAACAATTTCAATGATGAAAAAAAATGGAGGGCAACAGAAGAAATCACAATGGCCATGCAAAGCAAAAATCTGAACAGAAAAAGGACACTTTTAGAAAAGGAAAAGAGGGCTGGATCAAGAAGGAAGAATACAGGGAACTAATCTAGAACTGTAGAGTGAAAGTCGGGAAAATGAAATATCTAGATGATTCAGGTAAAATATTTAAGACTAAAAGGGCTGTTTCAAATGTCTTCAAAACTAATGGAAAAGAATCTGTATATAAAGAAAAAGCAGAGCTAAACAATTCTCCCGAAATTGTTCTACCATAAAATTATGAGCAATAGGATGAAGCGGGCAAGAGAAAAGCTTGAGCATGGTGAAAACCTGTTCAGAGATACTTCTTTGAAAAAATAAATCCGTAGGATTAGATGAATTGTAGCTTTGCATTCTGAAGAAAGTAGCTGGTGGTATAGCCAAACTTTTATGCATTTAGCTTTGAGAAATCCTGGAGTAATGATGAAGTGCCAGATGACCAGAGGAAAGCAAGTAGATGTTCCTTTTTTAAAAAAGAGAACAAAGGGAGATTCAGCAAAGTATAGATCTGTCAAGTCTGACATCAATACCTGGAAGGATTGTAGAGCAGATCATAAAGAGATCAGAGTGTAAGTGTCTTCAAAACAATGCAGTATTTACCTGTGGTCAGAACTAATCTTTCCAGACTAACCTTATCTCATGTATTGATTGAGTGCCTTTGATAGATTGTGCTAATGCTATTCACCTAATGTATGTTGACTTCAGCAATGCCTTGATGAAGTAGGAGGTCTAATGGGATGTTAATTCACAATCTGATTTTGTATGCTCTAGGGATAAAGATAACTTTCAAGTGAATATATTGCTGGCTTGAAAATCGTAGTTGACTTGCTCCTTATCACATTGGAGAATGGTACCTATCTCCTCAAGGTGCAGTCCTAGGTTTTCAACTGTTTAATATTTTTATTAATGACTTGGATGAGAACACGAAAGGATTGCTCACAGTTTTGCAGGTGGCACAACATTGAATGGGTTTACGAATTCCTCTAGGATCTTGATGGGCTAGAGAAATGGCCTGAACTTTTTTTAAAAAATGAAATTTAATGAAGACAAAAGCAAAATTCTTGGTTTGCAAAATAAAAATAAAAAACATAGCTATTGGATGGGAGATATGTGACTTGGATTACTTTCAATCAATCAATCAATCAGAATAGAGCTGGAAGGCACCTTGGAGGTCTTCTAGTCCAACCCCCTGCTCAAGCAGGAGACCTTACATTTCAGGCATGTGACTGTCCACTCTCTTCTTAAAAACCTCCAGTGGTGAAGCACCCACAACTTCTGAAGTTTCTTCTTAATTCTAGATTGCTTCTCTCCTTAATTAGTTTCCAACCATTGTTTCTTGTCCTGCCTTCTGGCGTTTTGGAAAATAAGTTGACCCCTTACTCTTTGTCTCCACCTCTCAAATACTGGAATATTGCTATCATGTCCTCACTAGTCCTTCTTTTCTCAAGACTAGCCAAACCCAATTCCTGCAACCGTTCTTCATAAGTTTTAGTCCCCAGGCCTTTAATCATCTTAGTTGCTCTTCTTTGCACCTTTTCCAAAGTCTCAATATCTTTCTTGTAATGTGATGACCAAAACCAGATGCAGTATTCCATGTGTGGCCTTACTAAGGCTTTATAAAATGGTACTATTATATCACATGATTTTGATTTATGCCTCTATTTATATAACTAAGGATTGTATTAGCTTTTTTTGCTTCCGCCATACACTGCTGGCTCATATTTAAGTGATAGTCCACTAGGACTCTAAAGTCCCTCTCACAGTTATTGTTTTTGAGCCAGGTTTTGCCTAATCTGTACTTGTACCTTTGGTAATAAGGCCAAGCGCTTATTTCGGGATTCAAAAAAATATAAGACAAGGTCTTATTTTCAGGGAAACATGGTATGTTTGCTACATAATTTGCTTTTATGGTCCCAAGTAAATTGCATTTTATTTAATATGTTTCTAAAATATTTGTTTCTTTGGGAAAAATGCACGGAGGGGACAAGGGTATGCAAAATTGAACCAGCTTCTAAACAACAATCCCAGGTTTTAAGATTAAATATACCAAATACATTTAGCGTAATTGTAATTGTTATATAGGCCACTCTAGCATTCTTTTCTTAGTTGGTGAATCTCATAAACTTTGCACTGCCTTCCAACTAATGGTACATACTATATGCATTTGGTGACTAAAGAGAGTGGGTTGAAAAATGCTATGAAACCTGTATGTAAGCAATTCCAATTTCTCCCAGTATGAGTACTACTTCAGCAGTAGTGGTATCCTTGGTTTAGTGCTTTCTCTCATGAGAGACAGGAGGAAAACATTTCCATATAAGTAAAAAACAAAATAAAACATGGAAATTGCTGTGGTTGTGAATATTTACCAATGTTGCTGAATGCTGCAAGATTTAAGATTAACCACGTCCTTTTGACAAGCTGTATAAGCAACTATCACTTCTCTTATTTTGCTTTCTTGGGAGAGAAAAAAAAGGAGGGTATTGTTTCCAAGGATAATCTTGTAATATTTTCATGAAAATAAATGATAAATTCTTTCCATAATGTAGTATCATAGCCCAAAAACCCAAGAATAAATAGCCTTTGCATAGGAACAGGAGATGAAATAGAAATAGAATAGAAAAGTTAGGCATCCTAACTTTTAATAGAAAAAAAGTTAGGCATCCTCAGAATGAATGTTATGGAATGCTTTTGACCATTGGGTGCAGTAGTTGGTTTTAAATCCCGGGGCTACCGGTTTGCTATCGGTTGGAAGCAGGTGGGCTTGCTTTGCGAGCACACAGCGCTTCTGCGCATGTGCAATAGCTTCTGCGCATGCGCAGAGTGTTTTTGATGACATCTGGGTGGGTGGGTGGAGCCTCCCACCTCCACCTCTACCAGTTCGCCCAAACCGGGGCGAACCAGGAACAACTCACCACTGATTGGGTGGGAAAACCTACATGAAAAGCAAGTTTACCATCATGTTGGTAGTGGCTGATTCCAAACGCTAAGCAGCATATAGAATAACAAAGTTGAAAGAAAATTTGAGATCTTCTAGTCCAACTCCTGCTCAAGTATACCATTCCAAACAAATGGCTATTCAGTCTTTTCCTAAAAACTTCCAGTGATGGAGGACCCACAACTTCTAGAGGGAAATTATTCCACTGATTAATTGCTCTCACTGTCGGGAAATTTCTCCTTGGTTCAAGGTTGGATCTCTCCTTGATCAGTTACTTCTTTTTAATGAGAGAGAAAGGGAGAAATAACGAAATAATCAAATTCCAGGCTTAAAATACCTAATAGCCCAATGATGATTAAATAAATTGGGTTTTATGCAACCCTGGATCTGTTTTATTTTATAGTGAAAGAGATTTGTTGGTTTGTTAAAAATGCTTACAAGAATTTTAGTCAATTTAATATTCATATAGTTATGTAAATTTTTAAAATTAACCATTTTAAAGAGCCATTAAAAACCATTTTAAGAGTCATGGTGGTGCAGTGGGTTAGACAGCAGTATTGCAGGCTACTTCTGCTGACTGCCGGCTGCCTGTAATTTGGCAGTTCAAGTCTCACCAGGCTCAAGGTTGATTCAGCCTTCCAGCCTTCCAAGGTCAGTAAAATGAGGACCCAGATTGTTGGGGGCAATAGGCTGACTCTGTAAACTGCTTAGAGAGAGCCGTAAAAGAACTGTGAAGCGTCTAAGTGCTATTGGTTTTGCTATTTCCTTTCAAGTAGATTAATCTTCCCTTTTTGTTTCTTAAAGAGATCCTTATCTGGTATTGCTCTACATAAAAAAATATCAGTATATGCCTGAATGTATTATTCATATTGGGAAAGTTAAAAATGAATTTAAAGGAATAGATTTAGTTTTTTCAACTTAGTACTCTCTAGAACTGTTGTGACTCTGTTTCTAGACTTAACTGAGTAGGAATTCTCCAAACTTGTTCCCAAACATATCTGAAAAGCATGAGATTATGGAAAGCTAATACTTAGTAGTTAGTAGTTTACTTCCTCCAATAGTGTCTTTATGACTAAATCTTGTTTTTGGCAGGTTTACAGGTGTAGAAGGATAACATAGGTACCTTGTGTTAGACAAATGCCTACATTTACAGTTAAGCAGGAACTGTAGAGAATCATGAAGGACTAGAGGAAAAAAGAAAGAACAGTTACATAAGCAAAGAGGGTTGAAACATTCCTTAACTTCTGGGAAGGAAGATAGCTTTCAGAGGAGACTCAGGCAGGGTCCTCTTTGATTCACTGGGATATATGAGGGAGGGGATGTAAAGCATATTCAGGCTTGCAAGATCCTGTTACTATAAGCTATCTCAGTTAACTATAGTTCTAATTAACTCTTGTCCTGTGGAGTCTGTTTCCTGATTTGGTCGAGTTCCCTGAGCAGTAGCCAAATAACCATGTTTCCAACTCCTTAGAGGGGCTACTTCATTTTTTCTTGTTTGATTCACGTAGAGCAAGGGTATCAAACTTGTGTCGTCACATTATCGTCATGACGTATCGCAACTTTTTCCCCCTTCGCTAAACCAGGGGTGGGCGTGGCCAGCACAGTATCTGTCCTTTTTTAAAAAACTTTTTCCTTCAATGTAAATTTTTAGAATACTGGTTGGGGAGAAAAATAAATGTTTGCCTTTATTCATGAGAAAAATAGGTGATGATATGAGCTAATTGACTCAGACCAATGACTGTAACATGCTATTTTGAAAGCTAGATTTAATTTTTATGGAAGAAAATAAGAGTCCGAGAAGAAGAATTTATCAGAATTTTTATTTTCGACATTAAAGTTCTAGAGTGTTCCAGCTAGTAATTAAGCCATCTATAAAAGTTAAAGAAAATCTGGAAATATGAAAAAATTAAGACCGCATTGTCATTTAAAACTAAAATTAAACTTTTGTGTTCCTTTTTAGTAATTAGATTCTCTGTTTCTCTTCTGTAACATTTTCAGGAAATATTTATGGCATTTTCAAAGCCTGAGAAGCTGTAAAGTTTCTCTCTACTTTCAGCAAGTGGTTATTCACACTGGAAACAGTGGCTTTATATTATGCTGTGGTTTGTTGATGAAATAGTAATAGAATTTATGCATTACATTAAACAATGCATTCAGTTTTGGTCGCCACGATATAAAAAAGATGTTGAGACGCTAGAAAGAGTACAGAGAAGAACAACAAAGATGATTAGGGGACTGGAGGCAAAAACATATGAAGAATGATTGCAGGAACTGGGTATGTCTAGTTTGATGAAGAGAAGGACTAGGGGAGACATGATAGCAGTGTTCCAATATCTCAGGAGTTGCCACAAAGAAGAGGGAGTCAAACTATTCTTCAAAGCACCTGAGGGCAGGACAAGAAGCAATGGGTGGAAACTAATCAAGGAGAGAAGCAATTTAGAACTAAGGAGAAATTTCCTGACAGTTAGAACAATTAATCAGTGGAACAACTTGCCTGCAGAAGTTGTGAATGCCCCATCACTGGAAATTTTTAAGAAGATGTTGGATAACCATTTGTCTGAAGTGGTGTAGGGTTTCCTGCCTGGGCAGGGGGTTGGACTAGAAGACCTCCAAGGTCCCTTCCAACTCTGTTATTCTATTCTATTCTAATAGTCCATGCTTTGCATAGCACGTGGATAGGTTTTCAACAATGTCAAAGCAAGCAAGATACAAAATTGCAGATGGTTTTGCTGAGAGGTGGGATTCACTTACTGTTACTACCGGTTCACCCAGCACCGGAAATGTGAGCGTGCGCACACATGCGTGTGATTTCACAAATCACGGCAATTTGCTCTTTTGCACCATCCACGCATGCATGCAACATTAAAAACACAACAATATAGGACGGGATTGCACCCGGGCGGGCAGGTCGCCATTACTGGTTTGCCTGAACTGATCCGAACCGACTAAATACCACCTCTGGTTTTGCTACTTCATATGACAAAGTGGGTTGATCTTGCCATTATTCCTCTATATGCCTTTAAACAAACCACTTTCTCTCATTCTCTGTCCCAATCACTCATCTACACAATTCTGTTGACAATAAGTAGTTTGTAAAAGAGATTAATAAGATTTCTACCAAGAAGATGTACATAAACGTATTTGAGTACTCCTGAACATTATGAAAATGCAGATCATCTTTAAAATCTCTTTAAAATTTTAATTTTGTAAAAATGTCATAGGCATCCATTCACAACATAATAGGCAGGGGTGGGCTTCAAATATTTTAGCAAGGGGTTCTCTGCCCAGTTGCTGGGTGGGCATGGCCATGTTGGGCATGGCCTAGTTGGCCTCCTGCACCATGGGGAGGGGGGGTGTTTTTGCTCTAGACTTCAGAGGCCCTCTGGAGGCCAGAGATGGGCCAGTTTCTGGCCTTCCTGAACTTCCGGTAGGCCCATTTTCACCCTCCCCGGTCCTCTGCGTGAACCCTGCACTTACCTGTATCCAAAACAGGTCGCGTGGGGACTCCTGGGAGGGGAGGGGTGGGAGGGGAGGGGCCAGCTAGGAGTGGGATTTGGGGGTTCTCCGAACTGCACAGAATCTTAGCTAGAGGTTCTCCCGAACCCCTGCAAACCCCCAGCAGCCCACCCCTAATGATAGGGGGTAGTAATGATAAATCTTAAATGATGGGCAAACTGGTGAATTAAAAGATAAGTAATTTGCCCAGGAACTCAAATATATGGCAAAGTTGCCTAAGTGTTAGAATCAAGACCTATAGTTGAACCCATAGTTCAGCTTTGAACCTATAATTCTCAAATCAACTTTTTTTTTCAAATCATTGTTTCTACTGCATACATAAACATTTATTTTTTGGGGGGGCTTTCTCTTCAATTGTTCCCATCAATGTTCTGATCTTTATTCTATTCAGTCAGTAACTGGGTTTTTTTTGGGTGGGGGGTGGGGGGTGTTGTTTTGCTATCTCTAAACCTTCAACTTTTACCAGGCAGTAGAAATGGGATCCATGCTATCTTTTTTTCATTAAAACGCCCATTCATGTCTAATAAAGCTGACAGTCAGCCTTTGATGCATTTCCAAGTGCTTACTATTGATTAAATGCAATGTTTGTATAAATCACAGGTATGTTTGTTTTTCAGGCTCTGATCCAGCTGCCACCATACATCTCTCAGTGTGATGAGGTTCTTCAGTTTTTTGAAACAAGGCCAGAGGATCTAAATCCTCCTAAAGAGTAAGTTATTGTAAACAAGTTATAGTTTCGTGTGTGTCTGTATGTGTGTATGAGAGTAAATTGAAAGAGGGAATGACAACACCGAGATTTTCATCAGTGAAAAATGAAATGTAAAAATGAATGTCAGATCTATCCATTGTATGTAGAAAATAGACCTTTTCCAATAAAATTTTATTAACAAAAATAAATATAGTAGTATTTTGGTTTTCAACTGAATACCAAATTCATTGAAACTCATTGAATTTGGTACTCAACACATTTTAATGGCGGGATAATCACCCACCTTTATCTCCCTTGACATGCTGCCAAAGACCTAATTGGCAAAGCCACATGGGGTCCAGAATCAAACAGAGCTTTAAGCTGAACTGAATGAACAAATGTTGCTTCCTGCAAAGGCCCACATGCCTTTGCTCCTTTTTTAAGTCTTATGGGAGGGGCCAATCATCTCCCACCCCTACTCCCGAGTCATCCCTTTTGTTTTAGCTGTTCTTGTCTTCTGGCAGCTCTGCACATGTGCGCACTGAGAACAGGCTCCCCCTGTTCCTCTGTCTCGCTGAGGTCCGACTCTGGAGGCAGTACGTACCTCCCAGGTGGCTCTTTCTCTGCCTCCGACGCAGAGCCCTCGTCCAAGCCTTCCCCGGACTCCAGGACTGGCCCATGTTCCTCCCCAGCCTCCTCACTGTCCAACTCTGCTGCCAGCTCCGCAGGCTGCTGGTGGACCCAACACTCACCTGGAGCTGAACCCAAGTTGACTGCATCTGTCTAATTGCCTTGGAGTCTGGTCTCATGCATTTATAAGCCAGGTTTTACTACTATGGAAGGGGCTTGCTAAGTTTTAATTGAAACCTTTGATTAGCTCTTTGGGGAATTACCATAAGTGGCAATTATGTTTTAGAATATGCAGGCTGATGTATTAGCCGAAAGAGTGCTATTTCTGGCAGAGAGAGAAGTAATCTTGGAATTGTAGAACCACTGAGTGATTACCTACATTCCATCTTCTTTTGAAAGCAAACACAGGAAGGATGGGAGAGCTGTAGATCTGATAATCATATTCTTGTAATGATAAGAGTAAAGAGGGGAATTAGAATTGTTTCAAGATCCAAGTTGTTATATTTTATCTGATCTTTGAAAAAATGTAAACACTCTATCACAACTAAATTCAATAGATAACCTTTGTAGCCTTTAATCTGACCTTTCTCCAACTCTAATACAAAGTGATGGAAGGAGAATAGAGTGTGATAGGCAGACTACGGGAAGGGAAGATTGTGAGGTTCTTGGTGAGGTTGTTTACTTGCAGAGGTTTCCTTACCAACTACTGATAATGTTATCTTTGTAATGAAACTTCTGCAAGAAAACAACCAAGCTCAGAGAGCACCAAAAACCTCACAATTCAACCCTGAGCTACAAATATTCTCTTTTGTGTTTGAAGCTGTCGATTTGGCTTGCTAGTATGTTCTCTGTCACTTCACAGCTGTCAAAATTCACTCAGTAGAGTGGCTGTGGAGCATATCTTAAGTCTGCATTTCAGTATTAAGTTTTTGGGTTGTTGTTGATGATGATGATGATGATGATGATGATGATGATGATGATGATGATGATGATGATAAAACAGTACTACAATATTTTTTGTGAGTTTACCACTGCTGCTAACAAGATCTTAATCAGGGGTCTCCAACCTTGGCAACTTTAAGACTTGTGGACTTCAACTCCCAGCTTTGCTGGCTGGGGAATTCTGGGAGTTGAAGTCCACAAGTCTTAAAGTCGCCAAGGTTGGAGACCCCTGATCTAAATCACTACTTCAGAGACATTTCTTCTCAACAGGAAAGGATACATGATTTCTCCCACCAGTTTTTGTATCCTATGTCTCAACTATCTAACATTTAGAAGTAAAATGCCAATTACTTGTTTCCTCACTTATCCTTCTTTGTCACTTTAGCATCTCATTTAAACCTGCCATTCATGGTGCTTTATACTGTTTCAATAGCAATGAACCTTGGACTTGCTTACTTTCTGCATTAATAAAAATGTGCATCTATCAGTGAGTTATAAAGTTTTAAACTTCAGCAGTAGGAAAATATATTACCATGTCTAATTGTATACAATTGTTTTATGTCAAGAAAAACCAAGAGCAAAAAAAAACACTTTCTTGTTGTCAATTTCTTGAGTAACATATATTGACAAACAGCAAACACATGCCAGTGTTTTCCTTGCAAAACAAGGATATTTGCAACCCATTCTCTGCCTATCCTTGCCTGATGCAACATTTGCCTTGTGACTATCAGCTGCCTGTGACTGGAAGCCCTTTTATTAACCATTTTGAGCATAAATATAACCCATTTGCCATCATCTGTATGGAATGCACAGTTATGCAAAGATATTGTGCAAATTGTTGTTGGGAAATACTTTATTGGATAGATTAGAAGAGTTGTTATTTTCTGTATCTGAGCACAGATCCTTCCAACACCCATGTCATTTACAAAGAATTGTTTTCAATTGGCTAGATATTCTTTCTGCATCTGTCTTTGAAAACTTTCTATTTCTGTCTTCTTTCATCCTTTTTCATATTGTTTGCTTACCCAACTTTTTTCTCTTCAGCCATTTGATTCAGTTGGTGCAAAAACCCAGAGCCTATTAACTATGCTGCTTTCTTTTGTCAGCTGGGTTTTCCCCCTTTAGCTTCCTTTCCTTCTGTCAATTCATCAGCTAATGCATTGAAAGACACAAAGAGAAACACAGGCTTGAGTACATGCATGTTGAATACCCTGTTTCCCCCAAAATAAGACATCCCCTGATAATAAGCCCAATCGGGCTTTTGAGCACATGACAATACGGCCAAGCGCTTATTTCAGGGTTCAAAAAAATATAAGACAGGGTCTTTTTTGGGGGGAAACACGGTAGTATAGAGACACTTATATGGTTGCTTTTAGAATAGAACCATAATTTGCTGCCTCATCAAAGGAGAAGTGGAATAATAGAAAGAGATTGTTTCATAAGTGCTCAGGCTTTATGTTCTCTGAGATTCAGTTTTGTTGCTGTAGGAGAGAACTTTGAATGGGCTTTCCCTCCCTCCCTCCCTCCCTCCCTCCCTCCCTATAAAATTGAGCTGAGCCACAATTTTTAATAAAATTATAGAATTTTCTGTATCTACCTATACAGGTAAATGTGTGCTTGCTTCATGACTTTCATTTCTTGATTTCTAGCATGTGTGAATCCACATCTTTTGTAGGCTGAATCTTTGACCTTTGCTGAATTAATCTTCTACTCTGTTCTACAATGCCATTTGGACTGTATGTGCTATAACGTTGGTTTGGGAGATATTGGAAACATCAAGAACATGTACTATATGGATGACACTAACCCGAAAGTCTAAAAATATAAAGGGTCTGCAGATTGTAATAATAAAAGTCAAGAAGCACAGTGGGGGAAAAATAGGGCTATGATTAAATATAAAAAATACCAAATTAATGTTTGTAGGTAGAACCAGTCTGAGAACTGTCAATGGAGGCATTGAAGTAATAGATATTTTCTGGCTTTTGAAATAACCATCAACACTAAAGGAACAAGTAATCAAGAAATACACCATAGACTAACACTTGGTAAAGCAGCCATGAAGCCCTGAGAAAATATATTCAAATATCGTTTCCATATCTACAAAGATCAGAATCTTGCAAGCCATGATATTCTTTGGGGTTCTCTGTAGAAGTGAAAATTGGACTTTGAGAAAGCAAGATGGGAAGAGTACTGATACTTTTAAACTCTGGTATTGGAGAAGACTCTTGGGAATACCATGGACAGCCAAGAAAACAAACAAATGAATCATTGAACAAGTCAACCTAGACTTTTCACTTGAAAAGTGAAGACTTTTCACTTTCACTTTGACCAGGCTCAAATCATCCTCCTTCAGATCCATTATGCAAAGACATAGCTCTCAGGAGAAGCTCTAATGCTGGGAAAGGTAGAAGGAAAGAAGAAGATGATCAGCAGCTAGGTAGATAGACCCAACTATAGTGGCAATATGTACACCATTGGAAGACCTGAAAGGTTAAGGACATATCTTCATGGAGATAATCTATCTGTGTGATCAGTAAGAGTTGATAACAACTTGAGAGTACATAATTAGTCATGTCCAGTCTATTGCACTGCTATTGAAGTGCCCTTAAATGGGAACACAACCTCAAAATATTGTATTATATTAGAGTATTTGTAATAGTTTATTTTGTAATTAGCTTTCCATACATAATTGCCATGCTGAATTGGTCAAGATGTTGCATTGGAAACTTTCTCCCCTGGGTGCCTCCTTATTTCTTGAATGACTGGATGATTTGATGGGCTGCAATGTGATTTCTTTCCCTGTCCTAATTCAACACTTTTATGTAAGAGAAATTACATGTAGTCCTTGCATATTGACTACTTCTTCAACAACCATTCAGTGACAGTGCTGAACACGGGGTACTTATTACTGGTCCTCAAAATTCCTGTAGCATCCTGAAGGTCATGTGATTTCAATTCAGGTGCTTGGCAACCAGCTCGCATTTAACGTCATGTGATCACTATTTGCAACTTTCCCTGCCAGTTTCCCACAAGCAAAGTCAATGGGGAAGCCTGCAGGAAAAGTCACAAGTTGTTCTGGTAAGTTCTCCCAGCCTTGTCATACTCTCCATTCCTTGGTCTTCCTGTGCTTGTGCACAGACTGCATGAGGCCTCCCAAGCTATCGGCAAGCTGATGCATGGTCTGTAGAGGCCCTTCCCAACCTTTACCCCCTCCAGCACTTCCCTTCCCTTGTGGCACCCCTGGACTCTTAATTGGGACTTCTGCTTCTCATTTAATGACCCATGCATTTTAAAGTTATGACAGCAACTGGAACTGCCAAGATTGTTGTTACTTTACTAAGCAATGAGGTCATTGCCTTTTAACTGCAGCCTGATCCCAATTGTCATAATCTGAAGACTGCCTGTACATTGTAGCTTCCTAGGCACCAATGTGAACATCCACTCTTTAG